TGAGTGCATGTTTATGCACATGATGCAGGTGTCTCCTCTACGTGTCCTTACTGCTTGGGAGATGATCTTTTGGTTCAGCATGATTGTCCTCCTCACCAATGATATATTGATTCTTACAGTTATTTCTACAAAGCAATTTCTGAAACACTTTGCATGTGCTTGTGGTGAGTCTCAACTGTTTGTATTTGTTAATGTTTTAAAAGACATATAGATGTGAATCTTGATATGCCAGCAGTGTGCATCTCTGGTGTTTGTGGTTGCACGGTCGATAAAGAAATCACAGTGAAACACAAGGAGCTGACTGTTCTCCCTGGGGCATTAAGCAGTCAGTAAGCGGGCAGAGCTGACTGACTCTGAACTGCTCAGATAATCTCCGCTGTTTAGTCCCATTACGGCACCACTAGTTGTGTTATTCTGGAATGTTGTAGCCAGCAAAGCATTTGTAAAACCTTTACAAAATTACTGACCTCAGAGTGGAAACTTGTAGGTGAACTGTCTTTGTGAGTTACCAAAAATGTATCTTGGGATTTGTGAAGCAGGTGAGTTACATTGTCAATAAAGTAAGACTAGGGCGAAGCACACAATTATTCTTTGCATTGGTATGGCACCTAATATTAATTATAGGTGATAATCATGCTATCTGCAGGGATTCTGTAGGTCTTAAAGCCTTAATTCACCCTTCTACAAAAATTAAGGTCTTAAGTTTAGCAAAAAGTGTTAAACTCAAAGAAAAAAATTAATATCTTCCTCAGTATTTTTGTTTTGTTTCCAATACAAATATCTGAACATCCTTAAAACAATACACATTTACTTGAGATGAAAACTGAACATATGAACAAACATCTGTTAAGGTAGTATGAAAACTTGTTGAATTAAGTAGATTTTTTTTGTCCATTACGAATTACAACGTAATGGACATCTGTTGGAAGTTGTATTTTTAAACTTTGAAGCATTGCTAATGCAAGATATTTACAATTTACATTTAGAGACCATATTAATGTATTGTTCAATTTAATTTATTCCTGAAATTTTCTTTACTTGGTCCTAAAAAAATCTTTAAAAGTCTTAAATGTACCTTTATAACCCTTGCAGAAACCCTGTATCTTTAACCTTCTGATTGTGAAATATTCTTGAGCATAAAGGCTGAGTGTCTTTTTTGTTGATACTATAGAACTTACTATTGCAAAGAACATTTTTAAAGTACATTTTACGTTATTATGGACTATAAATGTCACGGTACTGTTGTTTTTGCGAATGCCTACAGGTTCAGCAATTTCCTACTGCAATTCAGTTGTATTGTGCTGAATATAATATGTGCGTGTGTTGATGATTAGGCCTGTCGCGATAGTCAATATATCGACTTATCGCACGATATATGGAAATGAGCACGATCATTTTTGGTGCCGCGATATATTTGCGACTGATCATTTTTTATTATTAAAAATAATGATTATATTAATTTGTACATAAAAATGAATGTCACCAACATTTTAGTCAATCGCGCTGCCTCTGTCATCTCATCTGCTCTCTGTGGCGGAGGCGGGGCTCAGGCAGTGTCTCCCCACACACACACACAGAGCGGACAGCGACAGGTGAAGAGAAGGCGTGAACCCATAGATTTCCATAGATAACCATAGAAGATTTCCCCTATTAGCCAAGTTAGCACAAAAATACATGTGCATTTGTGCAACAAGCACTAGCTCAGAAAGAATGTTTAGCACAGCTGGTAACATTTGTTACCCCAGAAAGAACCTGCCTTAAGCCCCACAAGGTAAACATTCCTTTCTCGGAATCTGCCTAAAAATAAAAAATGGATCTGGTAGCAGATATGGCCTGTTGAGGCATATGTGCCTCTGTGTGAGACACTTTTAAAAGTCTAAACTGACTTTGTTAAACATGTTAATTTGTTTTGTTCTAGTTCTTGTTACCTTGCACTTTTTTGTTAACAAAGGTGTATTTATTATTTATTTGTTTTATTTATTTAGCATATATTTTTTCACATTCCGACTCCAATGTCTAAATATTCTTAAGAATAAAATGTCCTTTGAAAGAGTGTACTTGCATTATTATGCTATTATATTGTCATACTGTCATTATATAATCAGTGGCATAAAATGGTATTAAAATGACAATAATATGATTTATGGCAATTCATTTTGGTGCAATATATCGCACAACAAAAAGTAGTTATCGTGACAGCCCTATTGATAACATAGTCATTGTAGCTGCCACACAGTATGATTTGGCAGTGACGTAACTAGTGAGTGATTGACTTATGCAATAACTACAAGGGAGAGAGACAGAGTATTGGAGGAATAATGGTCAGCTGGGCTGTGTACACTCTGAAAGACACTAAACTAATTAAAGGAGAATCTATGCCAAGCTATCATACCACCTCTTTGCTGGCTAGAAACTGTAAGTAGATGTTCTTTGACTTGGTCTGGAACATTGAACCCTGCTGTAGTTGAATTTGCCTGTGACTCATAGCATCCAATCTACAGTACCAAGAAGCCTTTGTATCCCCTTGAGTTTGTGACACATGGTTACTTCCTTGAACAGGGGCCCTTCCTTAAGAGACAGCCTCTATAGCATTATGTCATTGGAATTGTGAACTGTCTTTCTTGGGATGAGGGAGTTCTCATAGTGAAGGAAGCCTCACTTCTTGTCACAGTCAAGGAAGGTTTTAGTGAATGGCAGGGTGGAGTGTCTGTATGCGTTCATTGCTTCCTCGAAAACGGCTTTTGAATTTGTTTGAATTTTTTTGAGCCATTTCTCTTGAGTCTTTTTTTTAATTTGTCCTGCCTTGTTTTTTGTACTGAAATTAAAGTCTCAAAAAAATACTAAGATAATATGAAGTGTCACTGGTTTTGATAATAACATAAGAAGTGTTGTTGCATTAATTAAGACCACAGGGAAAGTTGTGAGAGTGTGTAACATCACTGGAAATCTATTGATACAGATGTTGTTTGCAGGTAGGTTTTCAGAAATGCCAGCGAGCCATCTGAATGCATAGATGAATATACAGTAGGCTACCACTTGCAGTATTTATTGTTGCGAGTGTCTTTGCCTGTTGTGTTATGGGTGCAGTTGTTTCACCAGACACCATGTTGATTAGATGGATAATCTGATACGGAGATGTACTAGTGTGCTAAATTCTACTAGTGTGCTTTATTTATTATGACTAAACCATTCATTTCTTTTTGTTTTCAAGCATTAATTCTTTATCTTAGGGAGCTATGCTAACACATTTTGGTTAGGAGCACTTTGAAGCTCACTGGTCCTTTACTGGTGATGTTTTTTGATATGGAAGTCCTACTAAGGTAAGGCTAAGGACAGGAGACCTTTCTGTGTGGAGTTTGCATGTTCTCCCTGTGTCTGCGTGGGTTTATCCCACAGCCCAAAGACATGCAGGTTAGGTTAATTGAAACATCTAAAATTGTCCCCAGACGTGTGTGTAAAGACAAGACTTGTGTATGGATCGATTTGTGTATGGATTAACTGGTTCTCGCCATGAATATAGCCATAGATGCTGGATTGGCGTTAAGAGAGAAATAAACAAACAACTAAGGTGAAGCTTTTACTCGTGAATAAGTACATTTCCCCAGTAGCCCAAACATAATAAATGAAGGCAGATGTTAAATGGGCATTAATCAGATGACGAATCCTATTATTGGGAATCCTTGAATTATGAATATTTACTAAATTACTTGACCGACTCCTCTAGGAAGTTTACCAAGCAACATCTGTATGACTCAATTAATATTCACACACTGTACCATAATTTTGCTTCAGACTTATTTTTAATAAAATATCTGAAATAAAAGACATTTAAATTAAAGTAAGAATTTATGCTACAGTGCAAATGTTTGGGGTCTGTACATTTTTTAAATGTTTTTGAAGGACATCATTCATGTTCACCAAGGCTACATATATTTGATCAAGAATACAGTAAAAACAGTAATATTGTGAAATTTTAATTTAAAATTACAATTTTTTTGTAGTATATTTAAAAATTTTATTAATTCCTTCTTTTTCAGCATTCTTGACTCTAGTCTCTGTCACTTTTGATCAGTTAAATGCATCCTTGCCAGGAAAAAAAACTTGCTCACCCCAAACCTTTGAACAGTTGTGTATATATTAAGGGGATGTCTAATGTTATTTCATGCATTCTGACTTATTTACACCGCTTCTCATGCTAAACATGACCAAAGTCTCAAAAAACGATTTGGACATACGATGGAGTATTTCTGTGCCAAATACACTCCTTCAGGATTCGTATAAGTTTTGGAAAGTCTTTTTTGAGTATGGCCCTGTATGACATCATAAATGGCAGAATTCCTTTTATGGGCACTATTCCAGGAAAAACGTGCGCACACATCAACTAGAGCGAGAGCAAGAGCACGTCCATCAATGTGCTTCATTCGGGTTATGGAAGTCGCACTACACAAGTCTTGCTCGAGAAGGATTTTGTTTTTGACCACAAAATCAACAATGTCACCAAAAAAGTGTGATTTTCATTTTGAGGGAAAGATGACCTTGTTAAGCTTCACAAAGAACCCAGCGTTAAGGGAATTATTTATGTCGATGTCACAGCTTGCAGATGATCGCTACGCAAAAGCTTTACGTGCTTGTGACTCTTTAGCTCTGCCCACGGCACGCCTCCAGGAGCATGACTGTTTTTGGAGAGAAGTGGTACAGCTGTATTTTTCTTTTATAAATCTGATAAAACTAAAGACTCTTTGGAGATATGAAGGATGCAATACTACTGTATAGGTACTCAAGATTAACATGATATTGACAGAAACTGCATTTGTTATGTCCCCTTTAATCATATTTGCATATGTTAAGCGATTCTCAAAATAGTTGCAGCCCTAATGGAATTTTTGTTTTGATCTCCCTCAGAAACTAACCTTTATACTGACTGGATATACTGTTTTGGTTTTTACCTGCAGGTGTGAATGTGTCATCAATGACCTCTCGCTCTCTTTCTGCCCCTGCAGGTGTGTGTGGAGGAGTCTATGTATCGGTATGGCGTATAGTGCCGACAGCAAACTGGATGACAGGGAGTGCAGACAAGCCTCACATTCTCACACACTGATCACTGGTGTACAGTGACTGTTGCTGCAGACATCAGCAGGATTCCATCCTTTCTATGATTTTACCTCTTATTTCTTCAAGCTGGACTCTTCATTTCTTGATTTTTGGACGCCTTTTGTGAGCCGCCCTTCCCCCCTTCCCCTTTTCCCTTTTCTATCCCTCTCCACACTTCTCTTCCCTCTCTCCCCCTTATTCTTTCCCTATTGACCTTTTGATCAAATTTGGATCAGCCTGTGCACTAAGATGAGTTGGCTGAGTCGTTTAAATCCAAGGGGTCCAGGCACTCGGACCGGTCGACATGCAGCCCCATCCAGCCCATGCACTGCTGACCCCGAGACTTGTCTTATGGTGTTTGAAAACCATTGGAGACAGGTGAGACACAGCATAGGCTTATTTTCCCTTATACTAATTGTGCAGATAAATTCCTTAGTACAACTGGAATCATATAAATTCAATTTGTGCACTGGCTATAAATTATCACTGTATGCAGCATTGAAAGAAATGGTTGCCTTCTATTTCGCATTTTTTGGTAATGTGTTCTGAAAATTATTGGTATTAATGCATAGTAATTGTTGTTTTATTCACATAAAACATGAGCATATAAAGCATATATGTACATCTACAGGTTTTCCTCCTTAGTGTACATCAGTGCTCTCTTATTTGGATTGCTTTCCACTACATCACTATAGACACATGTTCCTCTTTGACTTTACCACAAATAGAATTTAACTGTTCCTTCCCTCTTTGTCAGGTGTCAGGGGTGTTGAAACTGAGAGAGTCTTCAGTGGGTGGTTATGCTGATGATCTCACTGCAGTTCGCAATCACACAGATCAGATGCTGTGCCTGCTAGCTGAAGAGAGACCAGCAGGGGGAGACATTGAATCACCAGGTTAAAACACTCTCTTGTGAGCTTGATGGAGCATACATTTATACTGTTTCAGAGTTTAGCGCAATAGATGAGAGGCTGTTGTTTTATGTGACAGTGGATTGTGAAATGTCTGCAGCAATGGGTCCTATTCTGGAGATGGTGGTGGCAGAGAACATCCTGGATGAGTTGATACAGTGGCATGTGCGCCGTGGTCTGGAACCAGACAGCCAGCTAGAGCTGTTGAAATTGTTTGAGATGTTGATCGGACAGTCACATCAGCCCCTGCTCCTGCACAGTGCAGTGCTACAACCGCTCCTAAGCCTGCTGGGAGCATGTGTGGATCCCCAGCTGGGCTGCCCTCCTGCCCTAGAGTCCAGCCTCGTACTGCTGCTAAATCAGGTGATTGACAGGCAGACGCTGACACCTGTTTGAACCATTTATTTTTAGTCATGACCAGGCCTGCACAGAACCTGCCCTGCAGATTTCTACAGAATTCAGACTTGTCAATTGCACATTTTCCTATATTTAAATTAATTCAGCAGAATTTTGCAGATTACAATCATTGAACTGGACTTTATCCCTGAGTTCCATTAGTTCCAGAGAAAACGTAGTTGGAACAACATTAATGACAACCAATCAAATTTTAGAGTTGAGCTTAGAACTGGGTTAGGGGCTTGTACACCATTAAAACCTACCATATCCCTGTAATTTAAAGGTTTGTTTATTGTTAAGTTTTGGGTTGGGGCAGGGGTCGGCAACCCGCGGCTCTCTCACCCTTCCGCTGTGGCTCCCTGTAGCATATAGAATACGCTTTTAATAAAACCTAATCTGCCTTATTCTGTAATAAAAATGGAAAAAGTGTTTATAGTACATAAACCAATCATAATCATTAAATTGTCATTAGGAAAATATATATCAAAAATATTATAGAATACAAATGATTGGATATTGTCCAGCAGTGCATTTATTTCTTAGCCAATTAAAAGTAAGAGGTAAGGAAAGTTTTAATTTTTTTTATTATTATTATTACATTTTACATTTATGTCCCCCTCACTTCTGAAATGATTGCTACACCCTTGCCCTGTAACATAACTGAATATAAAACTTTAGCTATATGCTGTTATCTTCATTTTAGAGATCAAATAGGTTGTTGCTCCACGTGAATTTTATTCGGTGGGAAAGGGGCCAAAATGGCTCTTTTGATGTTGAAAATTGCAGACATAGGGGTCGACCGATATGTGTTTTTCAGGGCCGATACCGATTATTACAGACCACGTAGACCGATAACCGATATTTTGAACCGATATATATGTGTGGTGAAAAAATTAAAATTAATGTCAAAATTAAGAATAACAAGGGCTCTGACAAAAACTGCCTTCACTGGTGTTGGTTGTACTTCTTACTCTTGTCTTCTTGCGTGCATCCATCTACAATAAGGGTAATATAAAGAGAGAGTTAAAAGTGGGGCCACTGTATGCTTCATGATTAAGCCTATGAATACTGTACTACAGCTAAAAAGCTTGGGGAAATGTAAGTATTTTGCTTCAATAATTTACATGTTAGAAATGTATGTGTAATAGCATAACCTCTCATAATTATTTTCTGATGACTAAATCATAACTTACAAGAGGTGACTGTTCAAATAATCATCTAATGCACATCAATTGATTAACTTAAAAAATCACAATGTATATAAGTGTAAATAATTTAATTGTAGAATTGTAGCCTACTCCATTGTAGAAGTTGTTAAGAAGACCGCAACTATTTTAATTAAGCTATAACACTAATAGCCTATTTTAGGCAAACTTGGTTCAAAAGCCTATTGAAATCAATCTCAAGTCTCAGTTTTTGTCATCCTAATCTTAGCCTACGTGACAGTATCTTAATCTTGGCCTATGTGACAGTAATTTCCATTAGTTTTAATTTACAGTGCAGTGCAAATGAAGGCATAAAACATTAATTTATTTTATCTTTTAATCAAATGAGTTAAACTATTTTTGGCAAACAAAAGTTTTTTTTAATTAAAATATGGAAGAAATAGCGTATTGTGTGATTATTCTTTTAAACAAAAGTTGTAATTGTTGTAGTAGTAGTAGCTAAACCGAACTTTTATTTTGACGGGTTGCCATGAGAATCTTTTAAGTCTGTGTAGCCTATGTGTATGATATGACGATAGTTTTACTCAAATGCTCATGAAGTAACTCTCAGAGCAGTTCTGGGGATGTTGTTCATGTATTTATGTCCTCATTTAGAGAGACGGCAGATGCTGAAAACACAGAGAGCGTCACACACTTCAGTATGTGTGTAGTAAACAAAACCGCGTGTTTGTGCCATTCACATATACAGAGGCACACAGAACATGCAGGATTCATATTTAATAGGGATGCACGATATATCGGCCACCATATCGGTATCGGCCGATAAATGCTCATTTTTCCTGTTATCGGTATCGGCCTGATAAGAAAATTTGGCCGATATGAAAATATATATCAAAAATATTATAGAATACAAATGATTGGATATTGTCCAGCAGTGCATTTATTTCTTAGCCAATTAAAAGTAAGAGGTAAGGAAAGTTTTAATTTTTTTTATTATTATTATTACATTTTACATTTATGTCCCCCTCACTTCTGAAATGATTGCTACACCCTTGCCCTGTAACATAACTGAATATAAAACTTTAGCTATATGCTGTTATCTTCATTTTAGAGATCAAATAGGTTGTTGCTCCACGTGAATTTTATTCGGTGGGAAAGGGGCCAAAATGGCTCTTTTGATGTTGAAAATTGCAGACATAGGGGTCGACCGATATGTGTTTTTCAGGGCCGATACCGATTATTACAGACCACGTAGACCGATAACCGATATTTTGAACCGATATATATGTGTGGTGAAAAAATTAAAATTAATGTCAAAATTAAGAATAACAAGGGCTCTGACAAAAACTGCCTTCACTGGTGTTGGTTGTACTTCTTACTCTTGTCTTCTTGCGTGCATCCATCTACAATAAGGGTAATATAAAGAGAGAGTTAAAAGTGGGGCCACTGTATGCTTCATGATTAAGCCTATGAATACTGTACTACAGCTAAAAAGCTTGGGGAAATGTAAGTATTTTGCTTCAATAATTTACATGTTAGAAATGTATGTGTAATAGCATAACCTCTCATAATTATTTTCTGATGACTAAATCATAACTTACAAGAGGTGACTGTTCAAATAATCATCTAATGCACATCAATTGATTAACTTAAAAAATCACAATGTATATAAGTGTAAATAATTTAATTGTAGAATTGTAGCCTACTCCATTGTAGAAGTTGTTAAGAAGACCGCAACTATTTTAATTAAGCTATAACACTAATAGCCTATTTTAGGCAAACTTGGTTCAAAAGCCTATTGAAATCAATCTCAAGTCTCAGTTTTTGTCATCCTAATCTTAGCCTACGTGACAGTATCTTAATCTTGGCCTATGTGACAGTAATTTCCATTAGTTTTAATTTACAGTGCAGTGCAAATGAAGGCATAAAACATTAATTTATTTTATCTTTTAATCAAATGAGTTAAACTATTTTTGGCAAACAAAAGTTTTTTTTAATTAAAATATGGAAGAAATAGCGTATTGTGTGATTATTCTTTTAAACAAAAGTTGTAATTGTTGTAGTAGTAGTAGCTAAACCGAACTTTTATTTTGACGGGTTGCCATGAGAATCTTTTAAGTCTGTGTAGCCTATGTGTATGATATGACGATAGTTTTACTCAAATGCTCATGAAGTAACTCTCAGAGCAGTTCTGGGGATGTTGTTCATGTATTTATGTCCTCATTTAGAGAGACGGCAGATGCTGAAAACACAGAGAGCGTCACACACTTCAGTATGTGTGTAGTAAACAAAACCGCGTGTTTGTGCCATTCACATATACAGAGGCACACAGAACATGCAGGATTCATATTTAATAGGGATGCACGATATATCGGCCACCATATCGGTATCGGCCGATAAATGCTCATTTTTCCTGTTATCGGTATCGGCCTGATAAGAAAATTTGGCCGATATCTTAAAGCCGATAAATAATCGTTTGCAGCCTTTTGTGCAATTGTACGTTGTAATATTGTGTTTATTTGATGTATATCTGATTTATCTCATATAGAATGCGTTTGGTTAAGTTAAAAAGAGCGCTTCAGTTTACCGGTGATCATCTTTAGCTCAGCGCACGCAGCTCAAACAGCAGTGCACAACATTAATAACTATGATTGGGAATGTCGTGTATATAACATTCTAATGAGAACATTATTATAATAAAACGTTGTGAATTCTTTGGGTTTAGTTGCCGTGTTTCAGCGCGTTGTTATGGGAAGAGCGCATCCACAACAGGATCACACATTCTGACTATAGCACGCAATAACTGCGTCATTTTGTACATATATAAGTTGTAATATTATGTTTATGTGGTATTAATATTAATCTCAGGATGCATTTCCTTGAGTTAAATAAGCTGCCAGCAAAACGCTTCAGTTTACCATGTTCATTCAGCTCTTCAGCTTCAGCACGTGCAGCTCAACGGCTGCTATTTAAAACAGTGGTATTAATTTGTTACTTTTTCAAAATCATTGATATATTATTAATAACAACAACCACTTGTATTTTTCTCTTATTATTTTCATCAACAATATGGTTTAGTAATTAAAATCATTTAATTATTGTCCGTGCAGAGGCTATTCCGTTTTATTGATCTATGGCACATTCATTTTGATTCTTTACACGTGTAATGATGTCCAGTGACTTGTTTGCATTATTTTTGCATTATTTTATTTATTTGTAAGACTTTTTATGACAAAATTTGGTAATTGGAGAGTAAAAATATTTTTAAAACGTACACCGTTCAAACTAGGCTGCTTATGTTGAAGTGTTTGGGATGTGGCTTTTAATGATGAGACCTTTTTTGTAATCAGGCTCTCAAAAAGTATATAACAATTTGGATATAGATTTATCGGCCAACATATCAGTTATCGGCTTTCAAAAATAAAGAGTAATCGGTTATCGGTATCGGCCAAAATTTTCATATCGGTGCATCCCTAATATTTAAATAGTCTTTTTACGGCTTAATATTTACAGATACTAGTCCATAGCGTGAGTTGATTTAAGTGTACTGACCTACTTTTGATTAATTCATCCAAACTTTGACAAATTCCGTAACATTCCGTGTTATACAGTACTTTCCATTTATATGACTGGATTCCACGATTCCGTCTGCGTTTTTCCTATTGCAGAAACCATAAATAGATAATATTGCGGTGTTTTGTAACTTCATTGTAGTGGATTGTGATTTCTTGCAACTTCAGCAACGTCTGTTGCTGCCTTAGAGAGACAACTGATGCGTGATCACTGAAGCAGCTCCAATTAGCATGCGCTTTCGGTGTGAGAGTGTAAAACTTTCAGTGCCTTTAGCCTTCCATGTTGATTGGTCGGACTCGTGACTCCCAACAAATCAGATGGGTGGTGGGTAGAGATTGCTCTAGGCCATAGAGTGGTGAGTTTTGACAGGCTGCATCAGAGCCAAATAGCGTGTTTCAAAATTTTTATATTTTATCGGCAAATTGGTTTTGAAAATGACGATACCGAAAATCATAAAAATGCTTAATATCGGCGTCGATAATCGGCCAGGCCTATTGCAGACCCCTGGGTTAGGGCTAGGGATTGGATTAGAACTTATTTTTCTGACAGGAATGTCTTTCCAGGACCAACAAAACATTCTGCAAAATTAGTACGTGATTACAATCAGCACAGAAACAAAACTGTAGAGATTCCATGTTGGTCTTAATAATCAAAATTAGGGATGCGCCGATTGATCGGCCGGAGATCGGTATCAGCCGATAATCACATTTTATGACTCAATCGGTACTCACTACACTTGACCGATCTCACGAACCGATCGCAATTTGATGACTTAAATGTGTGACGACGTACATAATGCGTGGGGACATGCATTCGAGAAACAATGAAAAATTTGGTATTTGCCGTTTATGTTTTGCATGATGATATGATGGATAGATGGTTCATTTTTAACAGCATATTCAGTGATGTTAGAGCTGATCTACGCCTCACTGCACACGTTTGTGGCGCGTTACGGCTCCACGGCTACCAGAGCTGATCGCAGCCTCTGTAGTCAGTGCTTGTGTTTATTCCAGCCAGCCACGGCACGTTTCTGAAGTGGCTCTCTGCACTGCTTGGCTAAAAATAGTCTTTTGTGAGTTGTCACACCGTGGAGGATGGAACAAAACCTCGTCGGAGCCGTAAGGGATAGCAGTAACCTAATATGCGGATCGTCGACCAAACATCTTCTTTGGGCATATTAGCCTACTTAATAGCATTAACACAGGCTTTACTCCTTTCAAACTTTATCTGGAATGTCACCATTTATGTCACTGCAACTTCCCGAACACACACACACACACACACACACACACACACACACAAAGTCATCTGCCTCATGAAAAAAAATTCAGTTAATATTTGCATCATTTATTATTTATTTTATCCATATGATGTTGCTAAAAAGTACATTATTTTGTGTATTTGGTGTAATGAAATGTGTTTATGCGGTTTAAGGTTAAAAAAACACATTATTTTCCACATACTGTACATTATTGTTTCTCCTCTATGCCCCGCCTTTCTGAAACGTGTCGATTTTTACAAAGCTCATCGGTCTGAAAAGTGAGGTGTGCTGTGATTGGCCAGCTATCCAATGCGTTGTGATTGGCTGAATACCTCAAGCGTGTGACGGAAATGTTACGCCCCTTACCATACTGTGATGCCGTGTCCCGGCCGGAGCGACAAGACAAAAACATTAAAACCCATTATAAACGAGGCATTTGTTGCATCCAGTGGGGACATAATTACTGATTATAATGACTTATACTGTATTTTTACGCAATGCATAAAACCATGTCTGCATTTGTGATCGGAGAAATGACAAACAGCAAGCGCTACTCTACACTGCTCAAAACTCGCGTTTGAATCATCAGTGGCAAATCCTTTAAATATGAAAACATACTTACAGTCTGTGAGTCAGAACAGCCGGCATTGTAGTCTACTCTACCCGGATCAGGAAATAGTCCTCCATAAAATGCGCTGCACACATCTGAATATTTGGGTTCAACTGTTCTGGAACAGTGTTGTAAATACAACTTAACCGCTGATTTCTAGTTGTGTCCTCTTTTGGAAGGCCAAACAAAGTAGTTTCGCTTTCACAACGAAACACAGCGTCACACACGGCGGGCTAGAGTTAGCGGAGGCCGGTAGGGCTAGAGTGAGTGGCGGCTGGTGTGCTAGATTGAGGAACGGCCGGCGGGCTTGAGAATGGCGCGGCCTGCGGACTTGCGGCAACCACATGTAACGACCCCGTGGCTGGACTCTGCTTCGTCCACGGTGAAAGCCGATCCGGCGATCCACAGCGCGAAGTTGATGTATTTCCTCAGCGACCAGCACGGATCAACTCTAGGCATGACGAAGCGGATATCGTCCTCTTTGAAAGGCCAAACAAAGTAGTTTCGCTTTCACAATGAAACACACAGCGCCTTCACGACATGGCGGCGGAGGCAACAGCGAGAATAAAAGTTACGCCTTCTTTCTTTGCGTGAACATTTGGGTGGTGTTATGCAAATCTTCCCACATCGCGACGTAGACGTGGGGGCATGTTAGAAAGAGCCGTTTTAGGTAAGCGTGGTTGACTCTTAACTTTTATAAAGAATACCTCTTTGGATTTGAGACTTTAGTCTTTGCAACTTTACAGATCTTTATGCACCAAGAGCTTGTAACACTCCAAAGAGAAAGGAAAAATTTAAATCGCATCATATGACCCCTTTAAATGAAAAATGTACTCCGTGTGATTGGCTATCCGCTCTTTGTATTAAACTATGCATACATACATGATGCTGTTTTGTTTATAGTTGTTTAAGCAACTTAATTATAACTGGTTTATAAACATTATTTTAAACACTATGCACTTTTTTCACAGATAGTCCTTATCTTATGCTTTGAATAAACGTGCATTAGTAATATTTTGCTCAATGCGCTCTCTTGTGGCCTCAGAAGAGAAGCCAAAAGCTATTCTTCACCATAACTGAAATTATGCATTTTAAATTCGAATAAAATTCGAAATTAGTTTTTCAGCCATTTTGACAGCCCTACTCACAATGTTCCAATATAATCAATGAAGCTCTCTAAACTGCACATATAATATCTTATTTACATTGTGTCTACGTGTGGCGTTTAGCATAGAGTAAATTCTGTTTCATGCTGAATGTGTAAGAGTTGGCACCCCTGTATCTATTTATATAATACTTAATTAATATCTTAAAATATTATTATATCTTATATAAACCATTTGCACACACGAGCATTATCTGACTCGGCTCCTCCCGACCGCAGACGCAGGTTTACAAGCCACTTTTTCTTGCATTTTTCAGTCAATTTCTTGCCTTTTCCCCCCTTATGAACAACAACATTTTCGTACACGACAAAAGCTCCTTGTGGTTTCTCGGTTTGACCAATTTGAGCATCCATAAACAACACAAAACAAATGCATTTTGAGTTTCTGCTAGCGATTCCTATATAGAAAAAAAACACTTCCTGCCCTCCAGCTGCATTTCGCGCCACAGCAATGACGTCATGTGCAAACAACCTATTGGGAGGACATTTCAGCCACTTGAGCAAAAACATTCTTTATACCAGACCTGTACAGTGCACACACAAAAAAGTGTGTAACTTTCCATTTTAATGTGATATTTATATTTGATTTGTCACTTGGTGTAACTAAATAATGCACATTTAATGTAATATAATGTGAAAAAAGAAGCAGATATTGCTCATGAATTCCCTTTTTGAGGTCAATTATTTATTAGGTTTATAATGTAATAATATAAAAACAAACTGAAGCATTTAAACTGAGATCTGTGAGCTAAATATTTTTTAAAAATGGGAACGTATATTCTTATACAGTTATCTAAGTAGAGTTTAGAGTAGTAGAGTTTGCACACTACTACACCTGTGTGTGACTGTAAATATCTTGGAGTTTTGTTGCCGTTCTGTGCCCATCATCCGCTATTTCCACCACTTAATCAAGCCACTTATCTTTAAAACATGATGACGTTTTATTTCACATGTCATTACATTTGCGTTGGCTCTCATGTTGAGCTATTTCGTCCGCAACCGTTAAAAGTTTCTGATTTCTATAGTGACTCTTTTGGCGCACATCATTCTCTTTCTATGAAACCTGTAAACCACATTCACCGGTTCTATAGCGACACCAACTCTATAGCGGTTTGCACGAGCATTGCAATTATTTTGCATTTACTAGAATTCAATCAAATGGCTTTCCCAACTCAGATATTTGCGTGTGTCCTATGCGTGGCACATTGTTCTTCTGCGCGGTCGCAACATAGGAAGTGTGCGGCCGTGCACGTGCGCAGCTTTGAGGAAACATTGCTGTAATGTACAATGATTTTGTGCGGAATTAAATATTAATGTGTTTTTTCCTAATTTGTAACTAAATAATGTTTGTTTCTGTCAGGTATGTGTGTGTATGGCAAAGGAAACTGCCGTTTTGGAGTTGATATTTAGGTGTGGACTGGTACAGCAGGGTCCCACTAACCTGCTGATCTTCTCCCTGTTGGTGCCATTTATTCATCGAGATGGCTCTCTGGGGCAGCAGGCCCGTGACGCACTGCTGCTCGTCATGGCAACCTCTGCCAGCAACCACGCTGTTGCGCGTCACATCGCAGAGAACTCCTACTTCTGCCCAGTAAGCATGAGTGTGGTGTTGTGTGTGCTTACCTGATCATGTTTCTGATCTTGCTTTTGAAAATGTACTTGTATCTCAGATGTTGATTAGATGGATGGAGAAGAAAAAAGATTCAGACTTCAACATATGTTCCTCATGTTCTTTCCTCACTGTTAGCATGTCTTTATGAATATCCTTTCTGTTCATGTTATGTGCTTTTTTGTTTTGTTTGTCTGTGCCATGCAATTTAAATGTCGCTTGTTCATTTTTTGAGTGTCTCTTGGAACTGTTTCAGTGGAGATATAAAGTCCTGTAGTGTTTTCTCTGAGTTGCATTCTATTGGCTACTGTGGCATGAAAAGGACATTTGTCATCTGCAGTGGTGCTACAGTTTTGGACTTTTCTCTTGAGAATAATATATGAGCCTCCATCTGACCCACTTAACACATACGACTGGAGGTCTCATCTAGGACTCCATGCTGCTGCAGTGCCTCAGTCTCTCAACATTTTCCTCTCTAACTTTATTTTTTCCACTTTGTGTCACATCTATTTTTATGCTAGAGATGCATAGGTCTAGCTGACAGTTTCTTTGGTGGCCTGTTTTGTGGCGAAGTTCCACATATAAAATCCCTGACATGAATGATGTTCTTAAACATACTTGCATTAAGGTGTGGTCACATTTACTGTTATTCAGGAATATTCATGTTTGACAATCCAGTCATTTCAATAGGAATCAATATGGTTGGGAAATTTGCATTGGGGTCATGTGGATTCAGCATGTTAGCCAACAGAAAGCTGCTTGGTTTGAAAGCAGCTTCTGTGTGAGCTGTACTTCATACATTTGCTGCACTATTGACAATGGACCTTTTTTAGAAATAAAATTGAAGAATTTTTTCTGAAGTGACCCTATCATTATTCCTTGCTAAGATCTGTGCTTGGAATAAAAAAAAAAAAAGAAAGATCCTGTGTGTTACAGTGATTTCACCATAGTGTGTTATCACACAGGGTGGAGCAGCGGTAAGTAATACAGTTCATTAGTCAAATAGATTTGTTGCAACGTGTCAAATTTATAGGCTTTGTTTGCTTTGTGTTTTCAGATGTGCATATAGTAAATGTTTTTACATCCAGTCAGGTTTTAGAGTGATGCCTATGTTTAAAATGCAGGGATTGCTTGGTGAACTTTATGAAATAATGTTGTCACCTATTTTTCTGTTTCCCAGGTGCTAGCGACAGGGCTGAGTGCACTGTACTCATCCCTGCCACGGAAGATTGAGGTACGGGGCGATGACTGGCACGCCCTCCGGAGGGAGGATTGGATGGCCGTTTCCTCTCTAGTGCTGTTCATGAACAGTCTTGAATTCTGCAACGCTGTAGTACAGGTGGCACACCCCCTTGTGCGCTGCCAACTCCTGGACTACCTCCACAACGGCTTCCTGGTTCCAGTCATGGGCCCTGCTCTGCACAAGGTGAACCACACTGAAATGGGCTGAAGATGTGATCCATAAACAATGTTTTGAATGGTATTTATTTTCTTATTTTGATTTCTTCGCTCTCTCTTTCTGTTTCTCTTTAATGGTTCCTCTGTCAGTCATCAGTGGATGAGATGATAGCAAGTACGGCATATCTGGACTTGTTTTTACGCAGTATCACAGAAACTTCCCTCCTTAAGACCTTCCTGCGCTTCATTCTGTTGCATCGCCATGACAACGACACCATCCTTGATACACTACTCACACGCATCAGCAGCAATTCACGGGTTAGTTTGGCACATGCTACAGCTAGGGTGCATGTATAGATAGAAAAGACACTGTTTTGTCAGTGCTGTAGACTTAGCATTGAAGAAGCAGTATATTCCTGGGAATGTGGCGTGACTAAAGTTGCATTGTTTTTTCTTTCCCTCTCTTTGAAGCTGTGCATGGTCTCTCTGAGTCTGTTCAAGACATTGCTCAGTCTCAACTGTGAAGACCTCATGCTCCAGCTTGTTCTCAGGTATTTTGTGTGCTTGGGTGTGTGACTCAATTAGCAATCACGAAAGCCTACAAAATATGCTTTGGCTAGATTTGGACAATGCATTTTGCAAATTGCAATGCATTACATAAACTACCATTCAAAGGTTTGGGGTCAGTACGATTTAAAAAAAATAAATTAAATACTTTTATTCTGCAAGGATGCATTTGATCAAAAGTGACAGTAAAGACATAATGTTACAAATGATTTCTATTTCAAATAATTTTAGATATAGCTGCAAAACAGGCTCTTACAGAAAATGTAAATGAACGCCAAATCCCGCCTTCTGATGTGAAGCCAGTAATCAACAGATACATATTGGAGAAATGGCAAGCAGAATGGGAAGAATGTCAACATAACAAAGTTTTTGAAATAAATTCTGCAGTAGGAACAATATATATTTATTCTTTTAAATCCAGGCATGACCAAGTTGTGTATACAAAATGTCGTATTGGACATACTAGATTAAGCACCAAAGAAGCACCAAAATGTCAATATTGCAGGACTCACTTGACAGTGAAACGTGCTTTTGTTCTGTCCAATATTTAATGTCATGAGACAAAGGTTATTATCAGGACAAACTCTTAAGGACTTGTTTTATAAGATGGACCCATAAAAACTTTAACAATTTCATTCAAAAGTAAATTTAAAATATCTTTTATAGAAATGTATGTGTAATACTTTGTTTTATAATTGTTTTTATTAATTTATTTGTTTATTGTATTTGTATTTTGTGTTCTACTATATTTTTAATGTATAATCTTTGCCATGAAATGGCCTATGAAGCTGATGTGGCAATAAACTTAAATTAACTGTAACTGTTTAAATAATTGTAAATAAATTGTTATCATAGTTGCCACAAAAATATTAAGTGATGTTGATACTATGTTGAAATCATAAGCAATGTTGATATTATCATTTCAACATTGACACTGAAGACTGGATTAATGGCTGCTGAAAATTCAGCCTTGGCATCACAGGAAGAAATGACATTTAAAAAAAAAAATTTTAATCATTTTTTCACAATTTTATTACTGTTTTTACTGTGTGCATAAGAGACTCCTTACAAAAACTTAAACAGTTTTTATCAAACATTTTTTCTTTTTTTGTTACCAATGGTAGTATAGATCATATATAAGTGTGTCATATGTAACAGGATTATTATTAGGGGTTTTATTAAACATTTGAAATTGCACATACTTGGGGAAAGATACTAAAATAATAATTATTTGTGTGTAAAAAAATTTTTTTTTTTTAAATTTAATGTTTGTCTCCAGGTATCTGTTGCCATGCACACATGTTATGCTGAGTCAGCGAAGGGCAGTCAGAGAAACAGACCTCTATGGCAAATCAGCTGATAAGTTCCTTTCCCTCATACCAGAATGCTGCCGAATCACTCCAGCACCCTCTAGTGAGCGGGATGATGAGCCTGCCTTTTGGGGAAAGGGTAAGCCTGTGTCAGGCACATTTATGGACATAACAGGTGTGCTTTTTGACTGTGCTGAAAAAACTTTGCTGCTGTTCATGCCTACAAAATAAATTTTCTCTCTTTTTTTCCCAATAGTGTTAGGTAGTCCAACTTCAGAGTCACCAGTTCACCCCAGACCCAGCACTCCTTCCCGCCTCGCTCTCTTTATTCGACAGCAAAGCTCAGGAGGCCAAGCCAACCCCCCCCCGTCTGGCTCGGAGAACGCTCCCTCTTCTCCTCGTGGTAGTGTTTCCTCCCCTCTGTCTCCTGACAGCCCAATGCACCAACTCCCAGACACTTCAGAAGGAGAGACTGGCTACCTGGAGTATCTGCGTGATGCTCGCAAGGGTATTGAGCTCTGCTCCTGGGCCTGTCGAGACTGGTCAGCCCCTTACGATGGAGAAAATCCCTCTCCAAACTCTGCTCCTCCTCCACCTCCCCCTCCTACATCCAACCCCTCCCTCAATATTGTACAAGAGCATTTCTCCATAATGGACCCCCCTCAGCAGAGGGCAGCAGTCGTGGCTGCAGCACGTGCAGAGTGGAGCAGTTCAGATCGAGATAGTGGAGAGTGGGATGTTACCATCAGCAAGAACTGTATCAGTCTCACACCCCGCAGTAAGAAACGCAGCCTTCTTCCCAGCTCTATACCTCTGCAGTCTTCATCTTCTGCATCAGTCTCTACAGAAATAACCGGTGCTGTAGAAACCGTATCCCAACACTCTCATTCAGCACCTCATCCATCGCTCTATAATGGGATGGGGCAGGTGGAGCTCACAGACAGTGTGGATGAGAGAATGGAGGTTAAGAAAGTGAAAAGGGACTCTGATGTAAATAACAGTGTGGTGGAGTCAGGCATGAACGGGTCGATGGGTATGGGCCCAGTTGACTACAATAATTTCCATGTAGGATCGGCAATGAAATCATCTCAGGTGCAGGTGAAGCCCCATCTGCAACATCAAACCTCCGTGCCCTCTTCAACCCAAGAGTGTCTACAAATTGAGCGCCAGAGATTATCTCCTGTTCCTGCCTTGACCGAGACTTCCACAGTTCCCCGTGACAGCAGGGGTCCGGAGTCCGTTGAGCGTCTGATTGAGGAGTTGCTGGAGCGGGTGCCGTTGGAGCCATTGTCTGGAGACTCTTGAGCATCCATAAACAACACAAAACAAATGCATTTTGAGTTTCTGCTAGCGATTCCTATATAGAAAAAAAACACTTCCTGCCCTCCAGCTGCATTTCGCGCCACAGCAATGACGTCATGTGCAAACAACCTATTGGGAGGACATTTCAGCCACTTGAGCAAAAACATTCTTTATACCAGACCTGTACAGTGCACACACAAAAAAGTGTGTAACTTTCCATTTTAATGTGATATTTATATTTGATTTGTCACTTGGTGTAACTAAATAATGCACATTTAATGTAATATAATGTGAAAAAAGAAGCAGATATTGCTCATGAATTCCCTTTTTGAGGTCAATTATTTATTAGGTTTATAATGTAATAATATAAAAACAAACTGAAGCATTTAAACTGAGATCTGTGAGCTAAATATTTTTTAAAAATGGGAACGTATATTCTTATACAGTTATCTAAGTAGAGTTTAGAGTAGTAGAGTTTGCACACTACTACACCTGTGTGTGACTGTAAATATCTTGGAGTTTTGTTGCCGTTCTGTGCCCATCATCCGCTATTTCCACCACTTAATCAAGCCACTTATCTTTAAAACATGATGACGTTTTATTTCACATGTCATTACATTTGCGTTGGCTCTCATGTTGAGCTATTTCGTCCGCAACCGTTAAAAGTTTCTGATTTCTATAGTGACTCTTTTGGCGCACATCATTCTCTTTCTATGAAACCTGTAAACCACATTCACCGGTTCTATAGCGACACCAACTCTATAGCGGTTTGCACGAGCATTGCAATTATTTTGCATTTACTAGAATTCAATCAAATGGCTTTCCCAACTCAGATATTTGCGTGTGTCCTATGCGTGGCACATTGTTCTTCTGCGCGGTCGCAACATAGGAAGTGTGCGGCCGTGCACGTGCGCAGCTTTGAGGAAACATTGCTGTAATGTACAATGATTTTGTGCGGAATTAAATATTAATGTGTTTTTTCCTAATTTGTAACTAAATAATGTTTGTTTCTGTCAGGTATGTGTGTGTATGGCAAAGGAAACTGCCGTTTTGGAGTTGATATTTAGGTGTGGACTGGTACAGCAGGGTCCCACTAACCTGCTGATCTTCTCCCTGTTGGTGCCATTTATTCATCGAGATGGCTCTCTGGGGCAGCAGGCCCGTGACGCACTGCTGCTCGTCATGGCAACCTCTGCCAGCAACCACGCTGTTGCGCGTCACATCGCAGAGAACTCCTACTTCTGCCCAGTAAGCATGAGTGTGGTGTTGTGTGTGCTTACCTGATCATGTTTCTGATCTTGCTTTTGAAAATGTACTTGTATCTCAGATGTTGATTAGATGGATGGAGAAGAAAAAAGATTCAGACTTCAACATATGTTCCTCATGTTCTTTCCTCACTGTTAGCATGTCTTTATGAATATCCTTTCTGTTCATGTTATGTGCTTTTTTGTTTTGTTTGTCTGTGCCATGCAATTTAAATGTCGCTTGTTCATTTTTTGAGTGTCTCTTGGAACTGTTTCAGTGGAGATATAAAGTCCTGTAGTGTTTTCTCTGAGTTGCATTCTATTGGCTACTGTGGCATGAAAAGGACATTTGTCATCTGCAGTGGTGCTACAGTTTTGGACTTTTCTCTTGAGAATAATATATGAGCCTCCATCTGACCCACTTAACACATACGACTGGAGGTCTCATCTAGGACTCCATGCTGCTGCAGTGCCTCAGTCTCTCAACATTTTCCTCTCTAACTTTATTTTTTCCACTTTGTGTCACATCTATTTTTATGCTAGAGATGCATAGGTCTAGCTGACAGTTTCTTTGGTGGCCTGTTTTGTGGCGAAGTTCCACATATAAAATCCCTGACATGAATGATGTTCTTAAACATACTTGCATTAAGGTGTGGTCACATTTACTGTTATTCAGGAATATTCATGTTTGACAATCCAGTCATTTCAATAGGAATCAATATGGTTGGGAAATTTGCATTGGGGTCATGTGGATTCAGCATGTTAGCCAACAGAAAGCTGCTTGGTTTGAAAGCAGCTTCTGTGTGAGCTGTACTTCATACATTTGCTGCACTATTGACAATGGACCTTTTTTAGAAATAAAATTGAAGAATTTTTTCTGAAGTGACCCTATCATTATTCCTTGCTAAGATCTGTGCTTGGAATAAAAAAAAAAAAAGAAAGATCCTGTGTGTTACAGTGATTTCACCATAGTGTGTTATCACACAGGGTGGAGCAGCGGTAAGTAATACAGTTCATTAGTCAAATAGATTTGTTGCAACGTGTCAAATTTATAGGCTTTGTTTGCTTTGTGTTTTCAGATGTGCATATAGTAAATGTTTTTACATCCAGTCAGGTTTTAGAGTGATGCCTATGTTTAAAATGCAGGGATTGCTTGGTGAACTTTATGAAATAATGTTGTCACCTATTTTTCTGTTTCCCAGGTGCTAGCGACAGGGCTGAGTGCACTGTACTCATCCCTGCCACGGAAGATTGAGGTACGGGGCGATGACTGGCACGCCCTCCGGAGGGAGGATTGGATGGCCGTTTCCTCTCTAGTGCTGTTCATGAACAGTCTTGAATTCTGCAACGCTGTAGTACAGGTGGCACACCCCCTTGTGCGCTGCCAACTCCTGGACTACCTCCACAACGGCTTCCTGGTTCCAGTCATGGGCCCTGCTCTGCACAAGGTGAACCACACTGAAATGGGCTGAAGATGTGATCCATAAACAATGTTTTGAATGGTATTTATTTTCTTATTTTGATTTCTTCGCTCTCTCTTTCTGTTTCTCTTTAATGGTTCCTCTGTCAGTCATCAGTGGATGAGATGATAGCAAGTACGGCATATCTGGACTTGTTTTTACGCAGTATCACAGAAACTTCCCTCCTTAAGACCTTCCTGCGCTTCATTCTGTTGCATCGCCATGACAACGACACCATCCTTGATACACTACTCACACGCATCAGCAGCAATTCACGGGTTAGTCTGGCACACACTGTACCTGGGGTGCATGTATAGATAGAAAACACATTCTTTTGTCAGTGCTGTAGGCTGAGCATTAAAGATGCAGTGTATTCCTGGGAATGTGGAGTAATGGGACTAAAGTTTTTTTGTTTTTTTCCTTTCCTTCTCTTTGAAGCTGTGCATGGTCTCTCTGAGTCTGTTCAAGACATTGCTCAGTCTCAACTGTGAAGACCTCATGCTCCAGCTTGTTCTCAGGTATTTTGTGTGCTTGGGTGTGTGACTCAATTAGCAATCACGAAAGCCTACAAAATATGCTTTGGCTAGATTTGGACAATGCATTTTGCAAATTGCAATGCATTACATAAACTACCATTCAAAGGTTTGGGGTCAGTACGATTTAAAAAAAATAAATTAAATACTTTTATTCTGCAAGGATGCATTTGATCAAAAGTGACAGTAAAGACATAATGTTACAAATGATTTCTATTTCAAATAATTTTAGATATAGCTGCAAAACAGGCTCTTACAGAAAATGTAAATGAACGCCAAATCCCGCCTTCTGATGTGAAGCCAGTAATCAACAGATACATATTGGAGAAATGGCAAGCAGAATGGGAAGAATGTCAACATAACAAAGTTTTTGAAATAAATTCTGCAGTAGGAACAATATATATTTATTCTTTTAAATCCAGGCATGACCAAGTTGTGTATACAAAATGTCGTATTGGACATACTAGATTAAGCACCAAAGAAGCACCAAAATGTCAATATTGCAGGACTCACTTGACAGTGAAACGTGCTTTTGTTCTGTCCAATATTTAATGTCATGAGACAAAGGTTATTATCAGGACAAACTCTTAAGGACTTGTTTTATAAGATGGACCCATAAAAACTTTAACAATTTCATTCAAAAGTAAATTTAAAATATCTTTTATAGAAATGTATGTGTAATACTTTGTTTTATAATTGTTTTTATTAATTTATTTGTTTATTGTATTTGTATTTTGTGTTCTACTATATTTTTAATGTATAATCTTTGCCATGAAATGGCCTATGAAGCTGATGTGGCAATAAACTTAAATTAACTGTAACTGTTTAAATAATTGTAAATAAATTGTTATCATAGTTGCCACAAAAATATTAAGTGATGTTGATACTATGTTGAAATCATAAGCAATGTTGATATTATCATTTCAACATTGACACTGAAGACTGGATTAATGGCTGCTGAAAATTCAGCCTTGGCATCACAGGAAGAAATGACATTTAAAAAAAAAAATTTTAATCATTTTTTCACAATTTTATTACTGTTTTTACTGTGTGCATAAGAGACTCCTTACAAAAACTTAAACAGTTTTTATCAAACATTTTTTCTTTTTTTGTTACCAATGGTAGTATAGATCATATATAAGTGTGTCATATGTAACAGGATTATTATTAGGGGTTTTATTAAACATTTGAAATTGCACATACTTGGGGAAAGATACTAAAATAATAATTATTTGTGTGTAAAAAAATTTTTTTTTTTTAAATTTAATGTTTGTCTCCAGGTATCTGTTGCCATGCACACATGTTATGCTGAGTCAGCGAAGGGCAGTCAGAGAAACAGACCTCTATGGCAAATCAGCTGATAAGTTCCTTTCCCTCATACCAGAATGCTGCCGAATCACTCCAGCACCCTCTAGTGAGCGGGATGATGAGCCTGCCTTTTGGGGAAAGGGTAAGCCTGTGTCAGGCACATTTATGGACATAACAGGTGTGCTTTTTGACTGTGCTGAAAAAACTTTGCTGCTGTTCATGCCTACAAAATAAATTTTCTCTCTTTTTTTCCCAATAGTGTTAGGTAGTCCAACTTCAGAGTCACCAGTTCACCCCAGACCCAGCACTCCTTCCCGCCTCGCTCTCTTTATTCGACAGCAAAGCTCAGGAGGCCAAGCCAACCCCCCCCCGTCTGGCTCGGAGAACGCTCCCTCTTCTCCTCGTGGTAGTGTTTCCTCCCCTCTGTCTCCTGACAGCCCAATGCACCAACTCCCAGACACTTCAGAAGGAGAGACTGGCTACCTGGAGTATCTGCGTGATGCTCGCAAGGGTATTGAGCTCTGCTCCTGGGCCTGTCGAGACTGGTCAGCCCCTTACGATGGAGAAAATCCCTCTCCAAACTCTGCTCCTCCTCCACCTCCCCCTCCTACATCCAACCCCTCCCTCAATATTGTACAAGAGCATTTCTCCATAATGGACCCCCCTCAGCAGAGGGCAGCAGTCGTGGCTGCAGCACGTGCAGAGTGGAGCAGTTCAGATCGAGATAGTGGAGAGTGGGATGTTACCATCAGCAAGAACTGTATCAGTCTCACACCCCGCAGTAAGAAACGCAGCCTTCTTCCCAGCTCTATACCTCTGCAGTCTTCATCTTCTGCATCAGTCTCTACAGAAATAACCGGTGCTGTAGAAACCGTATCCCAACACTCTCATTCAGCACCTCATCCATCGCTCTATAATGGGATGGGGCAGGTGGAGCTCACAGACAGTGTGGATGAGAGAATGGAGGTTAAGAAAGTGAAAAGGGACTCTGATGTAAATAACAGTGTGGTGGAGTCAGGCATGAACGGGTCGATGGGTATGGGCCCAGTTGACTACAATAATTTCCATGTAGGATCGGCAATGAAATCATCTCAGGTGCAGGTGAAGCCCCATCTGCAACATCAAACCTCCGTGCCCTCTTCAACCCAAGAGTGTCTACAAATTGAGCGCCAGAGATTATCTCCTGTTCCTGCCTTGACCGAGACTTCCACAGTTCCCCGTGACAGCAGGGGTCCGGAGTCCGTTGAGCGTCTGATTGAGGAGTTGCTGGAGCGGGTGCCGTTGGAGCCATTGTCTGGAGACTCGAAATGCCAGGGAATCAGCATAGAGGCTTTTCACCAGGAGCTGAGGGAGCTGGAGGAACGTGTTAGAGAGAGGAGGGTTCTCTCACGCAGCTCGGAGGAGTCCTCTCGGGAATCTCGCACTGCTCCTGCTCCCAGCCTGATGGATGAGGACTGTCTTCCAGTGGAGACTGAGCAGCGCTCCAGTGAAACGAAGCCTGACAGCTCTGCCACTGGGGTATTTAGCCCCGCACGACTCCTTGGACCACCTCTTGCTCAACCATACACAGGTTCTCGTTGTAGAGATGACCAAATTAAAGATTTGAGTGCTTATGTTACTTGTGCAAGTTCAGCAAGTGCTAACCATAAGTCACTGGTTCCGCTTCTCCCTCTGTGTAGGTCCATTTATAACAGTCCTGTTCAGTAAACTGGAGAGTATGATGCAGAACTCCTTATATGTGAACATTTTGCTGACGGGTGTTGTGTTCCAGCTGGCCTGTTACCCTCAGCCTCTCCTTCGCTCTTTCCTCCTCAACGCCAACATGGTGTTTCAGCCCAGCGTTAAATCACTCATACAGGTAATTCATTGAGAAGAAATATAATAAATCCTGAATATGCAAAGACTGAATCATTCTCAGTTGCTCTTTTTATTGGTTTGTACATTTTCTGTTCAAAAATATGAAGTCAAAATTTATTTTGACTACACAAATACTGCTTGTGATTTATTTTTGACTTAAGTGTCTCTGGCACTTTTTTGAGCTTTTATGGTTAAACAAATTTAAGCTGTTTAATGTTCTAGGGGTGAAGTTTGAGGAAGCGATTAATTTAAAATTTGATTTGACTGAAACTTAAATCAATAAATGCATTGCATCAAAAATATTTTTTTAAAGATATTGATTTTTACTTTGACTCCTTTCTCTTTCTACTCTTCAGGTGCTGGGATCAGTAAAAAATCGTATTGAAGCATTTGCGGCATCACATGAGGATTTCCCTGCCATGTTAAGAAAGGCTCGCCAATTTCTGGTTGCAAGAGGAAAGTTAGACTGGTCTGACTCACCCATGGGAGTGCCCAACCTTCGTCGCTCAGACTCATTAAGTAGGTGGATGAAAGTGAATTAACTTTCTCAGGAACAAAAACAAGAGATCATGGTTTAATGTGCCTGCTTGTTGAAGCCATTTGAATGCAAGATGTTTTGATGTGACATGTTTTTGTGATATTTGCCTTTGTAAAGAATAATATACACTCACACAGCTGGTCATATCACAAAATAAACCTTGAAGGATGCTTTGAACATAAGGCCATAAAAAATCCTAAATATCTCAAATGGTGTAACAGAAATCTTAATGAACATTTAAAGGGATCTTAAATTTGGGAGCGGAAAACAGGAATTATTAAACTTCATGATTGAATTGAATGTGATCGCTGCACGTTCAAAATATGGCGTTATTACGGATTCTACAGTCTCGTGGTTTTAGAGCAGTTCACAGTCTGTGAATACCTCCCATTTATGCCAAGCAATTGCTTATGATCTACTTTTGGTGAATTAAGACAATGTTTACTTTATGGTAGGGGTGTGCGATAATGACAAAAAATAATATCTCAATATTTTCTGGAATTTTGTCTATAACTATAATTAATGATGTTTTGCTGAGTGTGATATTGTGCTGGTATTTTGGCAGGTGGACAGCTGACTCCCAAAGCTTTTGATATTCTTCATATTCTGTGGTGATTAGAGAAAGTTAATTTGGAAAGTTAATTTGGCTGATTGATTCAGTAATGAAACATTACAGAGACGCAAAACAGTTGTTCGATTCCCTTTGATTTCAGGCTTGCTTATAATTAAAAGTCCTGCATTATGCTTAAAATGTTTTTTACACAAATTGTATCTGGCATTTAATTCAACATAAGCTCTTATGACTTCTCTCTGGGCTGCCCTGTCACAGGAAGACACATTAAAGACATTATTGTATCCGTAAAATCCAACACTGATCGACCTCTGATTTGTATGTATTAATATATTAGAACTTAAACCAGTTTTAGAACATGTCTTCTGTATTTCTGTTTAAACACAATATTAATTTAATTTGTGCAGGATCTCAGAAGAGTTCTTAAAAGTCTTACATTTGATTAAAAAAACTCTGCATATACCCTGTGAATTTTGTCATTATATTCAGACAATTTAATGGAGACATTTCACTTAACTTTCAACTAATTTGTGAAATGCTTCTTAAGGCATCTTAACTTAATATGTTTCCTTTTCTTCTCTCTGTTTCTTTTTCTTTCCCACAGTTAAAAGCCGAAAACCATCTTTGGGCGATCTTATCCTGAGGCATACCAACAGTCCCACGAGAGCTCGACATGCAGCTCAGTTGGCCTTGGCCCACGTGAGAGATGGAGGGCAGTCTCTGCACAGTGCTTTGTTTCGGGGTGGTGTGACTGGGGGGGCCTCTGGCCTGGAGAAGCAGGCAGAGGCACTAAGGGTGAAAAATGCGGTCTACTGTGCTGTTATTTTCTCTGAGTTTCTCAAAGAGCTTGCAGCTCTTGCACAGGAGCATGCCGTAGCCCTACCCTTCCCACCTAGTCAAGGCACTGAGGAATAACACCAGGCCAAAATTTTCCTCTATACTTGCTTTATCCACTTTTCCTGGCACTGAGCTGTAGACTATTATATTCCTGAGATTTTTCAAACAAACAGTCTTTTTTTCAAGGGACATAATGCACTCAAAGAGACAGGAAAAATCAGTTGATCATAAAGGTAAAGAGAGAGGTCATCTCTTGTTAATAATCTCATGTGCATAATGTAATTTTTTTTTTTTATTGTACAGGACCATTAATCCATTAAGCTTTAGGAAATTGTGCAATTAAATCTTGTAAATAGTCTATATAAAATATCTATGGGTATAATGATTTTTGTACACTCAGAGAGACTTGCATCCTTTAAGCTGGAGGAATTTGGCTGTAAACTTGCACTCCCTACGTTTCCAAGACACTTCAGAGACTAGCTAAAGTAGACTCACTGCACACAGTTCTTTTAAACTTTTATGGGTGCAGAAGTGCCATTTACATTTTTAGCAATGTTAGACGGTTATTTTGTCTTTTATAGAAAAATAGGTCTGTGAGATCACACCAAGATAGATCAGAAATAATCATCCCGCCTTTTTTAAAGGACGAGATATCAGATGCTGTTTACCAATTACACGCTGGGCAATAAGTCCTCCGTATCATAGCAGGATTTGACGCTTTATTGAGGCATCTCTGAAAAATCAACAAATGACAAAATACTCCAGTTCTGCCAATCTCTAGCACACATCTTTTCGTCCAACAGCTAGAGAGTGATGTTAGAGCCCGTAAAGAGTGGAGAGGGTTCATTTTCCTAACCTCCGTCCCAATAAATGCCTGACAAATTTAGCATAGATGGTAAGTTTTAGTTTTCATTCTCGTGTTGTGTTTGAGCAGCACATTTTGTAGGATGAGTTTCTGGCCTTTTCTTTAGTTTTTGATGTATTTTTAGTTTTTTTGGGAAAGGCACTGATTTTTCTGCCCACAAAGCTCTCCTCCTATACTGGATGTTGGCGTCCCTTTTGGCGTCTAACTAGGTGCTAATGTCTTAAATATTTGGCTGGTATGCGCAAAGAGAAGCTTGCATAATAATTACCTGTCCCTTTAAGGAGTAAGCCAAGTTATGTGACTCATAAGCCATCTTAGTGTTGAATCAAAGTGTTTTTTCCCCTGTTTATTAGTTGATTTTACTAGTGTAATGTAGTATGGGTGAAATCAGCCGTAATGTGTGCATAGTGGAAACACCATGCCACTTTTTAATTTGTTTATTGCCAAAATATTTTAGACACTTTAATTTTCAGAATGAAAGTAAGGACGTGCATTTATGAGATTTGTGAGTGTTTTTAACAGCAAGTGCGCATGTTTGTTTTTTTTGTTTTTTTAAACGGTATCGTTTTTGCCCCTTGTGTATCTTAAATTGCAATCAATGCAATGCTGATCTGAAATCATCCATCCAAGAGCTCTTTTATCATGCACAAGCCATATGCGCATTACCTCAGTTACTTCATTTTCATTGCATGCAGTGTTCTTGCTGTTTCATCTGTGTTGGTTCAGTAATTCTGTTCGATCAAATATCATTTAGGGCATAATTTTTTTTAATCAGTTTCTAGATGTAAGAGCAGACAATTTGAAAGTCAGTTATCTATTATTTTCTGGTTACATCTAGCTGCTGAATTGTCAATCCATCCATTTTCCCCTCCTTATCTATCCACCCATCCACAGAAGGTCTGTGCGGCACATTAGTGTGATGGTTCTCTGCTTTTGTTAGTTGAAATCTGAAATGTTTAGCATGTAAATTCCATATTTAAGGACAATGGTAGACCACGTTGGTGTCAAGAAAAATAATTTGTGCTTTCCCAGAAACATGCTCTAATGTCTGTGTGGGTGAGAAAGATGAAATGGAAAGGATAAAGAGCAAGATGTTGAATGAAGAAACGGTACATATATGTTAGAGTTCAGTTATCTCTATGGAGACAGCGGTTTTTATACTTCCGTTCAGTTTCTAAGTTAGAAATCAAATAGGCCTATTCAATTGATGTGTGTCATAAGATACCAATGCACAAGAAACGCCCATCGTTTTTAGGACGTAATTGTATGCCTGACGTGGTGCAGATAAGCATGTTTTTCTTTTTATACATAAGTGTTTGATATGATTTAGACATTTTGAAAAATCAGGAGCTCATTGATTGTGTATGCTTGTTATTGAAAAGTGTTTGTTTGATCAATATACATTGCACAGTTCTTAAGTAGATTTTTCTGTATTTGGTTTTCTGTCTTTTTTTTTTGTCACTCTCGATTTGTTTGAGTGAAACGATGATGTTGACAAGGACTTCTGCAGCTAGTTATCTATGCAAACTGGTTTCTGTGTTTCTGAGTAAGCAAAGATGGTTAAACTTTTGGGGACAAACACAAATTAAATTTGCAATCTGGAACCCCACACTTCAATAATTTACTTATCCCGTATCGATTCAATAATCTACTGGACTGTATGGAAACTCATGCAAAATGATGAATGTTATCTAAATATTTTTCTATATATAAAATGGAGGAGGAAAGTGGAACTGAATGGGGATTTAAATCAACGATGAAAACCTTCAAAGACGAACACTAAAAGGAAATGTTTTTATTAATTTATAAATGTTTTAGTGGAATACTTTTGGCTTCTTTGTCTTTATTTCTCAGAAGTTTATAAAGGTGAGATCTTCTGTCATTTGATTAAGATGTGGTTGTTTGCAAGTACGTTAATGATAAAAAATGATTTAAAAAAAAGCATATAAAATTTATCAAAATGATCACATCTCCTGAATACACACTTTGTACTTTCTCTGATTGTTGCTTGGGCTTAGATGAATCAGGTCTTTAAAAATATGACACTGACTATGTCTGGATTGGTGCATAGACTGGTTTTAAGCTGCAGATTAGATGACACCTTAAATATTGGCTTGTCAGAAAAATTACCCAGTTTGCCATTATGCTCATCATTGAGATCCTCTTCCTCCCTATTTCTATCATCTCTTACTCTGCTTCTGACAGAAGTCTTCACTGGAGAAAGGATCTGAGATGAGGAACAAAGACTTAATGTCTTTCATAAGCTTTGGGTCACGCCACAAAATCCCTGTAAAGATATTCAAAAATTCCAGTCACAAGATGTGATTTACTTCGGCTGTTTTCAGGTATTTATTTTATATTATTTTTTTTTCATGCTTTGTGATGGATAGAGTAACATTTGTCAGTATATTTAATACACAGGTGCAGCATGAAATTATTTTTAATCTTCATGTTACATTCTTTCCAAATAGCCCACCAGATTAAAAATATATTATATATGAATATATTGCAAAAATAAATCAAATAAATGCTGTTCTTTTGAACTTTGTATTCAAAGAATCCTGAGGAAAAAAATGTATCACAGTTTTAACAAAAGCATTAAGCAGCAAAAACAGTTTTCAACATTGATAATAAGAATAAACATTTAGTGAGCACCAAATCAGCATATTGATTTGAATGAAACATTTCTGCAATCTTTGGCCTTCTGAGGTGCCATAGACATGCATGAAGCCATTTTATTACAACAACACCTGTAGAGGAAACCAGTTTCTTCCATTTATGGACTTCTACAGTCTCTGGGCTTTATCAGATGTCTTGATAAGTAAAATGCACTTCATGTACAGTGTGAGGAGCACACTTTGATATAGCTACAGCCAGTGTCTGTGTTATGCGGAAGGTCCTCAAACTCCCACATGATTGCCATCTTGTTGATTAGACAAGTGACTTATGGAGCTGCTTATCCAATAGCTGAACTTTCTTTTCTTATTATGTCCGATCAGTCTGTTCGGTAATAGTTCGCTGAAATCATTATCAAGATGTGTATGTTCAAGGTTTAAAAGTGCGTGCTTGTTAATTTTTAAATGCAAATAAATTCATAATTAAATAGTTTTTAAAGTTAAGATATAAAATATATGAAACAGTCAAATTAAACTTATTTAAAAAAAAAAATGGTATACCTATTAAATTATTATGGCACGGAGTCTATATGTTTGAATTGATCACAGAAAATTATAATGTAGAAAAATACAATGTGGAAGCTCATAATCTTAGACACCAATGTTACTGGTAATTAACTGAATTAGTTCTGTACCGTTTCCTAGCAACAGTGGGACAACTAGTAAGAGAGAGAGAAAACCACTTGTGAGAGAGGAGGGCAGTGACAGAGGTGCAGGTGTCAGCCACAAGTAAGACTTTCAACTTTAGTGCATTTTTTATAATTAAAGACCAAATATTTTTTTGATTAGTATTATACTGTTTTTTTTCTGGTTAGTTTTGTGTTACTGCTTTTGAAATGTGCTGATGTTTTTGTTTTCTTCTAATTACCAATTATTTTAAAGAAAATACAATGTTTTAAATGATTTACAATGGTTTTTAGAGCAGTTAATGAATATCATTGTGAATTACTTGTTACATTTATTTGGTTATAAATAAGTAGTTTGAAATGTTATCACAATGTTATCTGGCACTGCCAGTTTGCACTTTGTTTAGTGGAGTGATATTTATAGTTAATTGCTTTTGCGTAAAGATACAGATTTAGTTTGGTAACTGTTTATTGCACACTAAAAATAGTTAATTGCTTTTGCTCACTGTCCTTCTTGTACAAAGCCAATATGCAGAGTTCATCTGCAGCAGCCCCTCATAGATAATGTAAGAAGTAATGTGAGAGGATACCTACAGAAAAGACACAGGAGAACACACAAACACATGCACCCATATCAGATGACTTTGCATGCAATGTTACAATTATGCAAATGACTATTTACATTTCTACTGCAATGCAATGGTTTAATCTCCATTTTTTCTAAATTAGCGTACAAAAGATATAAGTTCACCCAGACTGCGGAAACCTTAGACAACACTGGTATTCTTTTTCAAAGATTTATAAATCATACTACACTCTCTTAGACTGAATCATCTTCGTGCCATTACAATTGGACACATTATTATTATTATTATTATTATTATTATTATTTATTTATTTTTAGCTACACACAGAGAAAACGTTGATGATTTGCCTAATAGAGTGACTGTCATTATTTCATATAGTCTCCTGCCTGGCATGTCTTACTGGCATCTATATTTCTACCTTGTCCCTCCTCTCTTTTATACCATTGTCTCTCAAACAGAACCGATCAGGACTAGTGCTGTAAAATAGCATTAAATAAAGTAGGTCCTGTCTCAGATTGTACCTGAATGGGAATTATTGCTGCTAAACTTTTTCTTTAGATTGTTGTATATCGCCATTTATCCCCCTTATAGTGTGCAATTCTTTTTTTCAAATCTAAGAGCAGCTGCATTATGTTTATCATGCATCTTAGGTATGCACTTCTATCAAACGGTATATTCACAGCATGAATCTTCATGTACTCTGATGATAACCTAATTTTCTTTACTTGCAGTATCTCTTCCTCCCACTACACATGCACACTTTGGACTCAACTGCTTTAAACCTCATCATGAATTAAGTATTGGAGTGTTGTGCTGATGTGTAGCCTGATGTCACACTGGGCCTGAAGGGGCCTGAAGAGCTGAGATAGAAGGCTGCAGAGTGAAAATACAAGTGAGCAAAGGAGAGCAAGTGCACTTCTCAGTTTTGTGATGACATTTCCCCCCCCCTTTTTAGTCTGTCTTTTGCCTCCCACATATATGCTGTCCTCCTTCGTTCACTGCCTGCCTCCCTGAAATTGAAATGCTAATAATCTCCTCTGTGCAAGAAATATTTTGACTCCCTTTCTTCTTTCTGTCTCTCCCTCTCCTTTGCTCACATTTGTCTGTCAGCCACAATTTCTCTGTTTTCCAGTAGCCTTTCTCTAGCCAATCCTTCGTTCCCTCAATTCATCAGTTCTGTCAGAGTTTCTCAGCTTTCCATCTGTCAGTCAATGTCAAAGTTTTGTTTGTCACATGCACATCAGTACAGTGGGAAATAAATACTTTCTTTGCAACTCTTAAATGGGCAAAGTAATACAAGAGAACTGATAATAATAATACTAATAAAAGTCAAATAAATAATCAGTAGCACAATAATAAACAATGTTCCATATATAGTTGATACATCAGTAATACAAAGGCAGTCAGAAAAGACAAACAAAATGTGCATTGTTTGTTCTCTGGTCTTGTTTCACTGTTTGCCCTCTCAAATGTGCTCAGCAACTGTTCCGCAAGACAGCGAATCATATCAAATTCCAGAAGTAAGCCGTTTAAGGTTTCCTACTTTCAGTCAGTACAACAGCCTGAAACAATGGGTTGAGTGTTATGTTGTTATCTCCAAGAAACATCTTAGCTATTGCAATACAAAAGGTAAGATGAAACAACTTTTTCAAAATTTCACCTACAAAGCATTTTGTTTATTTGCTTATTTGATTTACTTCTTTAAATGTTTTAATATTTCTGAAGATACAATCCAGAACATGATATTTTGATGTAATAACTGCTGTTAACAATCATAAGTTTAATTGCATAACATTGTTACAAAAATTGCCCCTGCACTACTGTCACCTTAATACTCATTTTTAAAATATATTGCACATTATTGCTATATTATATATAATTATATGTTATGCTAATTATAATACATGAATTTATTCTGTATCACAATTATTTAATTGTTGTATTTATTATTTATTTTTACTGTGGTATCTTTATGTTGTCATGGCTGCTGTTGTCACGACTGTGGTTGCCATGGGTTGCAGCAAAGCAACTACATCTCCTTTTTCATAAACTGTAAAGAGAGTATTGATGATGCAGACTGCTTGACCTGAAAAGCACTTTGAGGTGTTTTATTCACATAAGTCTCATAAGCAGGTCTTTGCATTTTATTTTTCACTTTGAGACTCAAATATGACAAGAATATTTAATACTGTATGAATTAGTAATAGTGGTGCCACATACTGTAAAGGTCTGTTTCAAAAGAGGGCTGTAGACATGTTTCATGAAATGTTTATTATGTGTCCCAGCACACTGATTTCAGGCAGGATTTCTTATCTACTTTTTCACTTTAAAAAATCCTTTAGAATTTTCGGCTAATTTGAGTGCTTGTAAAGTTGCTGTGAAACCTGTTTGACAGTAACATTGATAAAATGAGTGTCGCGAAATTAAAACTTTCACCTAAGAGAGGATCTTCTGATGAGTTTTCAAAACCTGTTTGTTTTGTGCTTTAATGTCATATTACACATTTCAGTTATATTAGAATTAAATGAATGTTTTTTTATTTGTCTTGATGCATAATATTAAATACAAATTAGTGCAATGAAGGCAATGAAGATCATTTTTCTAATGGCCTCAGTTTTATTCCATCTTTCTCTGTACCTCTCCTAACAGGTCCAAAATAGGCCTTGATACAAGCCTCCACAAATCAGCCTCTACAAATTCACTGCAAACATGTCTGCTGGATATCCAGTGAGCAACAAAACGTCCCCTAGCACATCTCCACAGCCCCCTCTAAGCCCAACGGCACAGTCAGACATAGAAGGTCATGAGGGCCCAAAGCCTACTCCTGTAGCCTCTTTGCTTTCCTTACCATGTTGGGCTACCCAGGCACTATGTGATTTAGCAAGATGTGAAACAGACCTCAGACAACTGAGGGAGCAACATG